CATCTAAGAGAGGCTTCCTGACTCAGCTTTAGCTGCAAAGCCTGCAGCTCATTAAGAGGTCCTGCCACGAAACACTTAAACGGTGTTGACGAAAAGCTGAACGCATGTTTTTCGGTTTTCAGCCGTAGCAGGAAAAAAGCTGCGCCGTTTAAAAATGCCGGCTTTCTGGTCTGTCCTGCCAGGACAAACTCTGACTCTTTTACGCAGGCGGTTTTCAAGCACAGGCTGTTGAAGCTCGCTTGCTGGCTACAGCCAGTACCTCCGCCATGAGGCTGGAAAGCTAAGGAATGGACTGGATCTAGCTGGCAAAGCCACGCCTTTAGTCCTACTGATATTGCTTGGTAAATTAAAGACTCATGTGGTCAGAAAAACAGAGAGAGATACAGTAAAGAGAGATTCAAAGACAAAGAAAATTTTTAAATGGTTTACAGTGTGTTAAAAATATACGCAGACTAAAAGTTGAAGTTCTTAAAGTAAAAAACAAAAAAAGGAAGAGAGTTGTTGTGTGTGGTAGCACACGCCTTTAATTCCAGTGCCTAGAAGGCAGAGACAAACAGATCTCTGTGAGTTCAAGGTGTAGTAGTGTACACCTTTAATCCTGAATGCCTGGGAGGCAGAGACGGGCGGATCTCTGAGAGTTCAAAGCCTGGTTTACAGAGTTACTTCAGGTCAAAGATACAGAAAACCTGTCTCAAAAAGCAAAGAGTTAAAAGTAAAAATAAACTAAATAGAGGTTAAAACAAAGCTGCACAAAGATGGAAAATACACAGAGACTTTTGATACTGTATGCTATTATGCTCTCTTTGAATTATTTGAATGCTGAGGAAAGAGCAAAAGCTGCTAAAAGATATTTATTTATAAATACTGCTGAACTAATCCAACATAGATATTTTGAATTTGTATCTAAGGATATGATACTTTGGAAAGGAGTTTCTTATTTTGTTTTCACAGAGGATGAGACGCTGTTCATTTCTTCTATTCTGATTTGGTATGATGGACCACGCCCTCCTGAAGGGTTGCAGTGAACATCTTCAGAAAATTGCTTCGCTCAACTGCCAACTGAGATGAAACTAGCACACAGGTTATACCATGAAAGACCTAATTAACGACGCCCCCATTCAGCAGGAAGCAGTTTGGAGAGAAAAAACTGCGCCCATGTTCCCAAATATGGTTTATAAACGTCCTTTTACATTTAAAGGGGGATATGATATAGATATGAATAATTTACATTAGTATAGATTTTGCTTTATTGATAAGAGATTTAAGGTCAATTTTGTTATATATATAAGTGTTTCTGATTTTGATTAAGGTATTGTGATTGTGTAGTTCATTTAAATATGTACTGTATAATTAAGAAATATAGGTTGTTAATGGATAATCATCGATAATAGTAAAGCTTGTAGTCATGTTAGTTAGATTTTCTAGATATATAGAGATATATTTTAGATAGACATTCTTCATGTCTTTCAAAGATTACAGAATAGGACATTTAATGTTTTAATAACTGAGGACTTTTCATGACAATGAGACACGTCTGCTCCTGGCAGCACCAATGTACTTCAAGAGGAAGATGGGCATCGAAGAGGATCCTTATGGAGTTTGATAGCCATTTGGGCAAGAAACTGCTCTTGCCTGGACTATTGCATAAACTGGACACAGAGAACCCGCAGAGAGAGGACTACTGAACTTGCCTAAGGTGAGATGATCTTTCGGGGTTCCTGATTCATGAAAGAGTCTGCGAGACATTCTGTAGGACACAACAGATAGTGACTGAACTGACTTTGAATTTTCCTGCTTTATGGAAATGTCTGCTGGATACCAAGGGCCTGAAGGCTGAAGATGGATGCCCCAACGGTACAAAAGAACTTTGGGTGACTGTCCAGGCAGCGAGATGTCTTTGTCATTTCTAGAGTTTGAAGTTTCTTAGTTCTTATTTACTTAGGTAATATTATATCTTTCTGGAGTCTTTGATGGAGTTAAGAATAGTTAGTTATAGTTATAGTTTTCCTTAGTTATGATAAAGATTATTGTAACTTTTACTTGATAACTGTTTTGTTATATGTAATTTTGCTATGTTAAAGTTAAAGCCTTTTTTTTTTTTTGTTTCAACCGAAAAAGGGGAAATGATGGAGGAAGGTCATTGGCTAATAAAGGCACTGCCCTGGCCCATTTTATTGGTTAGAGGATACGTGGGAGGAGTAAACAGAACAGGACGCTGGGAGGAAGAGGAAGTGAGGTCAGAGACTCGAAAGCTCTGCTCTCAGCAGCAGACGCCAGAGAGAGACACCATGCTGCGCTCCTGGGCAGACACACGCCATGAAGCAAGCCGCCAGGTTAGACATGCTGAACCTTTCCCGGTAAGACCGGTGCTCACCGATTATTAGAGATGGGTTGATCAGGATAACAGAATTAGCCAGTAAGGGCTAGGGCTAAAGGGCCAAGCAGTGATTAAATGAGTACAGTGTCTGTGTAATTATTTTGGGCATAAGCTAGCCGGGCAGGCGGCTGGGGGTGCTGAGAACGCAGCACCGCGCCCCTAGTACTACAACTCCCATCCCCTGCAGCCAGATAGAATGCAAAGGAATCACTTCCACGTGGTATTCCTGTGATACTCCAGAGTTGGTCTGGAAAACTTTATTTTATGAAAGATAAGTCTAATTTAAGCCGGGTAGTGGTGGCGCACACCTTTAATCCCAGCACTTGGGAGGCAGAGGCAGGCAGATTTCTACAAGTTCAAAGCCAGCTTAGTCTACAAGAACTAGTTCCAGGACCAATTCCAAAGCTACAGAGAAACCCTGTCTTGAAAAAAAAAAAACAAACAAAAAACCCAAAAAATGTCTAATTTCAAACAATTGTGAAGAAGTGGGATCAGAGTCTTTGAAGAAGCTTAGGGTCTGTCCCTGTCACAGTAGCTGTGGTGGTTTGAGTGAAAATGGCCCTATGGGCTCCATTATTTGAATGCTTAGTTACCGAGGAGTAGAACTTTTTGGGGAAGGTTTAAAAGGTGTGGCCTTATTGGAGGAGGTGTGACACTGGGTGTGAGCTTTGAGATTTTAAAAACCCACACTGGGCCCAGTCTCCAATCTCTGTCTCTCTGTCTCTCTGTCTCTCTGTCTCTCTCTGTCTCTCTGTCTCTCTCTCTCTCTGTCTCTCTATCCTCTCCACTTCTCTCCTCTCCTCTTTCTCTCTTTTCTTTCTCTTTCTCTTCCTGCTGTCTGTGAATCAGGATGTAAAGCTCTCAGCTACTTCTCCAGCACCATGCCTGTCTGCTTCCTGCCATGACAATCATGGACTAACCCTCTAAAACTGTAAGCAAGTCCCCAGTTAAATGCTTTCTTTTATAAGAGTTGCCTTTGTCATGGTGTCTCTTCACAGCAATAGAACAGTAATGAAGACAACAGCCTTCTATGTGGATTAACACTAATTAACTGGTCATCCAACAATGAAGATGGCTTTTGGCTTGAAGATACTGTGTAAACTATTTCTTGGATGATATAAACAAATGTCTATTCACCAGATATAGAAACAATACCACCTGAGTACAACTTGGTGAATTGGTGAGTTTATCTGAGTTATGTACAGTATTATGGGTGAGAACTTACTTACAGAAGACTGGATGACTCAAAGGCAACTCATAATCAACTTCCCAGCCTATCATGATAATGGCTATCAGATGCTGGAACTTGGTGTTCTGCCCTATTTTCAGGCAGTTTGGCAGGTCAGCGAATCTCTTATCAGCAGAAAAATTGGAGGAGAGGGGGGATTTATACATCTAGTAGGTTTCAGGGAATCTCCTGAGACTTGGGAGTTGCTTACTTCCTGGGTTTTGATGGCACCCCTCCCCAACTGCTTTAGAACTTCCCAATCTTACCAAACTTCCTCATGGATGGAATGTTTCCATTCAGAAGAAATTGCTCTACAATGGAGGGTGTGGTGAATCCCTCAGCATACCATGTTCTAAATGAACAAACCCAGAGTTGTCCGTGTGCCTGCCAAGCTGCTGCAAGGGGCTGAAATGGTACAATCTAGACAAAGGTCCATTCCCCAAACCTGGGAAGGATGCACAGCAGGAATCCATGATGACGGTATTGAGCTGCAGGACTCGATGAACCCCAAAAATGGGCCCCATAGATCTATCACCACTAAGCTCTCTGTCTTTCTAGGTGCACCCTTCTGTGTGGCCAGCAGGAAAGCACGGTTGTGCTCGGAGTATCAAGTTTAACATTCTGATGGCACCATGATGCTTCAGAGGTACTGACCTATTGCTGTGGTGTCTTTGCTCATCTGTGACTCCTAGGGGAGTGACTTAGCACAAACAGACCATAGGGGGCTGCCCCAGAGCCTTGGCAGGTCTGCAGTGCTTACCCTCAGTGTTTCAGCCCTGCACTGTTGGCAGGGACTGAGTCCTCACCAGGGCCAGGCCCCATGCCAAGCACCAGGGTGCATTGACTTGCTTATTTGCCCCAGTGACCTAACATCTTCTCTTACAGAAGAGCGAAAGCAAGGGCAGAAAGGAAAAGGAATGCTCCCTGGTCATTTAGCCAAGTGGTGGAGTGGGAACTTGCAGTGGAATTTTCTAGTGTCTAAACCTGAGCATGCTGCGTGGGTGGAGGGGGAGAAGATGTGGATGGGTGGGCGCTTCACAGCCCACTTCTCCGTGCAGGGCTGAAGCGCTGAGGGCTGAGAGCAGCTGACACTGCAGACCTGCAGAGGCTCTGGGGCAACTCTATATGGTTGACTCATCGGAAGGCAGAGTCTTTGTATAGACTGTTAAGAGAAGGGGTGTACATCTCAACAAAGGAGTGTCTCCTAGAGGAGACGTTCATGACTCAGCATTGTTGCTTGAGATGTTGCTAACCCATCCAGCAAACCAAACAGAGAAAAGGAATCAAACAATGAAGCCAAGAGCATCACAAGCCTGGCAGGCAGTGCCCCCTCTGCCCGTGGGTAAAATGGACAACTAGGAATCAAGGATGCAAAAGGTTTCCAAGGCTGAGAGACTTTTTTTTTTTTAATAATAGGTTCCAAGGTGGGGGGCGGGAGTGGGGTTCCTTCACACACTCGAGTTTAAAGCCAGGCCGGTGACTGAAGTGGGTTCTGTCAGGAGCAGGGGGTTCCCCAGGCTGGTTTCCAAAACTGGCAGAGAACTCCGCATGCGTGCCCGGCTTCCCCTCACTTCTTTTTGAACACTTGTTTGCACACCTGGTCACCACAGGTCAGCTCCTGCAAGTCAGAAAGTGGGTGAGTGACCAACAAGCCCAGATTTGCCCTCTGCCCACTTGGCCCTCCTAGGGTCTGGGGCAGGTGAGCGAGGCTGGGATAAAGAGGGCATTTAGCTGTTCTGGGCAAAGTGTCCCTCCCAGATCCAGTAGGCTGCCATGCCCTTCAGGTAGCAGTAATTTGATTTTGACACTCAAATTGAGCTTGAACAACTATAAAAATGAAAAATACAAAGAAATGACCCTCTTGGGCAGGATTTCTCCTGCTCCCATGGTTAAAGCAACATTGTCTAATGTATTAAAAGGTGGCGAAGCCGAGAGGAAGGGAAGGGTAGCATGGAGAAGCACTAGGTAGGTGGTTAGCGATGGCCCCAAAATAGGGGAAGAGCTTCAGAAGGGCTCCCCCTGTTTTGCCTGCACGGTGGACAGGGTCCCACTTTTCATGGAGGTAGATAGAACCTCGGGCCTTCTCTGCATCTCACTGAACCCTGAGGGAGGAGGGTGAGTGAGCATGAGGAAGGCCGCCATGCTCGCTGCCACTGACCACGGATTTGTTGTCTTAACCACAGGCACTACTGGGGATGGCCATACAATTTTAAAAAATCTATCATCCAAGCCACGGGAAATAGGGAGAGCTGCCCGTGGGAAGCGCCGAGACCACCTCCCATATATCACTAGTTGACATGTCTCAGGTGAAGCTTGCTCAGATCCGAAGAGCATCTTGGTGACATCATATTGACCTCAGAGCTGGGTACCTGCTTGACTCCATAGGTGAATGAATGAATGAATGAATGAATGAATCATTGAGGATGTGTTTGCTGAAGGAGCCACTCATTGAGCAGATGAGTAGCTGAGTGTTTGAAAGGATGAAACTTTTCTCACTCTTCTGATGTGGGGCCCATAAATTGTTGTGAAGATTGCAGAGTGAAAAATAAAGCTGTCTGGACAGTGACAGCTTATTGAAGGATGTCAGCCATTGCCCCTACTGTTCTGTTCTAGTAACAAATCAACCTCACAGGAGCTGGGATCAGGTCCACCATGCCTTAGGCTCCAAGGCTTAGGGTGAGAGTCCAGTGTTCCCACCACGCCCTCCACACCCCTCATGCTCTCAGTCCCCCTCCCCCACCCAGGTACTGACAGGACGTCTGGTCTTGTCCAGGCGACTTATGGCTCACCTTTCTCCCTAGCTTCCTTAGCAGGCTGTCTGCATTTCTCCTTGGATCTTGGTTTCCTAGCTCAGCATTTTAAACTTTCTTTTTAATTGCAGCCGTTCACAGAAACAGCCATATAGATTTCTTCCTGGAGTCCCCTGAGCCAGATGGGAAGGGCTTTCTGACTATATGACCAAACGCATTTGGCCGGGGCTCAGGGCCATTTTTCTTGTCAAAGCTTCTGGCCAGGTGAGTGCCGCGGGAGGAAGGTGCTGTCCAGACCCCAGGGGCTTACCAGGTACAGCTTGTCCCCCTCCACCCACTGCTTCCAGCCGCGATTCTCCTTCTCCCCTTTCTGCACACACACCAGAGTGTCGCCTTCCCAGGTGATCAGCGTCTGCAACGACAAATTGTCAGGCAAATCACACGGATGGCCTTGGGAGACTGAGCAAGTTTCCATCTGCAGCTGCAATTCCTGCAAGCTCCGTCAGCCTCCTACAAGCCCATGGGACAGAGTCCTGCCTCAGTGACCCCAGGGACCTTCCGGTCTCCACTCCATTCTAGCCAAGCTGGTCTCTCCGGACTGCCTGCATTCTCTTCTAAGGGATTCTGCTCAACCCATTTTATTATCTGGCAAAAATAGCATTTCGAGCTAGTGAAGGAAAGATGATAAATTCAACTATCAACAATGTGGAATTTCTGGAAGGGGAAATACCTCAAAGTCAACAGACAAATAACCAGCAGGGAAAAAGAGCTGTAGCGTATCAGTAAAGACTTGATGTCCTTATACATAAAGGGCCTCTGTAAATCAATAAAAAGATCATTAACCTAACAGTCCACGCCAAGCAAACATATGAACCAAGGGCTTACAGAGGAAACTCTTGAAGTAGATGGCTTTTAAACCTAAGGAGAGATAGCCTCCTTCGCAAATAGCAGGAGAAATGCCGATAAGACTGCTTCTCAGATCCAATTAATCACGTGGTCATAGTTCAAAGATTTAGTAGCACTGAAGGGAGGGCTGTCCACCCTTTCTCAGGACTCACCAGGTGGGATGAGAAATGGTTTGCGAGGACTATTTCATATTAGCTTTCAAAATATGGAACTGCACATATTTTTGCATATGGTTTGCTTTTATTTACTTGCTTACTTATTTTGAATAATATTTAACTTTTTATTTAAAAATTTCATATGCTTTTAATTTTTTTTTGGACAAGGTTTCACATAGACGTGTTCTATGTTCTACATAGATCTCACTGTGTAGCTAAGAATGACCTTGAACTCTTGACCTTCCTGCCCCTACCTCCCAAATTCTGGGATTATCATCTCTGATGAAACTGTATATATTCTTTGACCTAAAATGTCTACCCTGGGAATTTTCCTGCAGGAGTCACATTTTGAGCCTTGGCCGCTGCAGGTAGAAATAATCCCTCAGGGAGGTTCCCTAACTAGAGAGCTGCTGCTCACGTGGTTCCAGTTTCTGTCACCCAGAACCAGGAGGGTGCCCTGCTTTCCTTTGGGTTTTCTCTGGGTTGCGATGCTAATGGTATAGCAGTATAGATACAACAGCAGAACTCACGAAGGGCATCCTCCATGTCCAGCCAAGCCTTGCTGGCCTGCCTGTACCCTGGAGGTTGCAAGCCCCTGCACACACACTCGCAAGGTATATGTTCCCTAGACACCCCTGTTTCCCTCTTATTGCCTGCCTTCGTGCCCAGTCAGGCTCACGCACTGCACCTGCTGAGATGTTTATGTCACCCCACTGTGTCTGTGCCTTACTTCCTGGGGGGAGATGAGCCTGACAGAGCTGGTTTTTTCCCTGTATGCATAAACGACCTGGGGCCTCTCTGAAAAAAAATTAGGCTAAGGACCCGAGGCTTGCTTTCTTCTACGTCTTGTAAACGCAACTGATGATAAATTGACTTGTAGGGTGTTTTTTTTTTCTCTTCTTGTGCATTATACAGGCCTGTTTGCTACACGTTGTTAAATCTACCTACTTCTAGAATAATTTTGACCTTGACCATAAGATATACTTTATGTACAGTGTTATTCCCCTCCATTCTACTCCTCCATGCATCACGGGATGGCGCGTTACCACAAAGGACTGGAAGCTTCATAAATGCTGTCAGTGGGTGGCTGTTTAAATACGATGTGATTCCTCCCTGCTTCACAGTCATAGACAGAGTACAGCCAGAGCCGGTTGTTTAAATGTTTAAAAATGCAAGATGATGAGCAGTGTGCCTACGACAAGGGAGCCGGCTGAGGAGTGTGCAGTATTCCCGTGTTTAGTCCCTGGGTGATGATTATCCCTGTAGAGAGACTGAGCTAGGGAGCCAAGATGGAACGGAAGTTCCACTGTTTACTGTTTTTAAAAAATTATATCCATCCATATTGTCACAGACCCCAAATCTAATTTTAGAACAAAATATGCTGTACTTTCTAAAAGAAAGTTGTCTCCTCTTCCTTTAAGACCATCTGAAGCCCCACATCGCTGAAGGACTTATAGACGTTCAAGCCATAGGTCTCCTGGCTCCTCTGGGAGGAAGAAATGTCTGGGAAATGCATCTACCGTTTCTCCCCACTGCCTTGGACTCCATTGCTTCCCTAGTGGATAGGGAAGGACTCTTGTCTTCTCCTTAGGTAAGGAAAGTGTCTTCTCTTCTCCTTCCTCCCATAGTGCCTTGCACCGGAAGCCCCTGTGCTGCTGACCGCACTGACGTCTGTCTCCCTTCACAGGCAAGGAAGCTCAGGGAAGGAGAGACTATGTGGCCGCTGGTGGCTGCAAGGACACTCAGCACAGTGTCAGGCCTTGTGTGGTGGACAGTTTCCCTGAAGCACAGTCCCAAGGGAAGCCCACTCGCCTCCTGCCTTAGAGGCGGTCCCAGCCGAAAGCACACATGCCCTGCCAGGGGGTCGTGCAGTGGACACTGTCCATTTAATTGTCCGTCTTCTGCATAAGGCCTGAGATCCCCGAGGGCAGGAAATGGGGGGGGGGTCTAATTCATCTTGTCACCTACCTCTCTGACACAGACTTGGCAGGCAGTAGGAGCTCATCAAAATTTGCAGAATGAAGAAAGGAGAAAAATGTGAGTGCAAAGAGGCCTGTCCTAATATTTCATTTTAATAACTCACACTGGGCAGCAAGATTCAAAGTTATTCTGACCCAAAAGTAAATTGGCTACCAATGAATCATGGTAATGCTTCCAAGATTGTGGGCTGGCTCCTCCATGAGACAGCGAGAAGCAGAAAGAAGAGAAGAGTTAGATGAACCAACTCCAAGTTTAAATTTCTTATTAATTAAATTATCCTCCCCCTCCCCCTTTTAAGTCCTACTACATAGGCCAGGCTGACCTCAAACTTGTCACTTCCTTGTCTCAGCTTTTCAGAGTGCTGGGGTTACAGCTTTTACGACCACACCCAGCTTTTAGTCCTCATCCCTGTGTCTGAAGAGGTTTTAAAAACGGGCTCAGTTATTTTGAAAGATCATGCAGCTGAGGAAGCCCTAACTTCTTGGGTGGGAAGATGGACAAGAAGGGCGGGTTTGCACAGAACAGAGGCAGGGGTAGAGTCCCAGTGTGACGCTTCTTACACTTCCAAAGTCAGCATCGCTCACAAAGGCTCTTTATGTCAAATTAGACACAGGTGCCCGCCCACTGTTTAATCTGGGTGAGTCAATAGCTGAATCATGGACCTATAAAAGACTATCCTATTTCTTTAAAAATACTGTTTTAAGATTATGACTATATCATTTCCCTTTTTCTTCCTTCTTCCAAACCTTCCCCTGTAACCCCAGCCCCACCCCACTTAGAACTCATGGTCTCTTTTTCTTTAAATTGTTGTTACATATATGTGTGTATATGTTCTTGAATACACAAATACAGCTCAGTCCATATAATGTTACTTGTATGTTTTCAGGGCTGAGCATTGAATAACAAGTTAGAGTGCCCTTCCTTGGGGTAGACTATTTCTCTTGTTTTGAGCATTCCTTAGCTACCTGGACTAACCTCCATGGTACCAGAAGGTACAATGCAGGCTTTCAAAGGAGAGAAGCAAACAGTAGTCTTACCCAGTTATGACATCTTGCCATCGATAAACTACAACAACAACCATCATGGGATGATAGCCCTCAGAGTACAGTAGTGACACACACCTTGGGGCCCACTCAACAAGAGGAAAATCACCCGTGGTCCTGAAAAACAAGCCAACTACACAAGGCTAGTGAAGTCATGGATTTTGGAAGCAAAGCAACATCTTCATTCTTCAGAAGTACAATCATTTGGAGGTCAGATTGTTCAATATAAATGTATGAATGAGAAAGAGGGGGGAGATCTCGATTAAAAACACAAGGGGCAAACAATAACATGCAACTCTTTTTTAAAAAGTTATTATCATGTGTATGTGCCTACATGAATTTATGTGTGCTAAATACATGCAGGTACCTGTGGAAGCCGAGGGTATCAGATTCCATGGAAGTGGAGCTACAGATGGCTGTAACTTACCTGATATAGGTTCTGGGAACTGAACCTGAGTCCTCTGTAAGAGGAGTTAAGGCTCTTAACTGCTGAGCCAGCTCTCTTGAACCAATGAGATAACTCTTTGTGGAGAGGGAAAAGTTGTTCTTTGTTCTTGAATCTGAAAGTAACAGCTATAAACTCCAGGCATGGGATCTACTGACCCATGGAGATGTCCCTCCTTGAAATTTTCCTTAGAGGCTTTGTCTCCAACCACCTGCAGTGCCTCAGAAAGTCCCATTGGGATGCCCTTCAAATCACACGGTGCTATTTGCCATGTCCCTTCCTGCTTTCCCCACTCCTCACTGGCCACTCCAATTCCAAACTTTTTCAAAAATGGATTTATAATTTGCAAACCATAAAATTCATTCTGTTAAAATCTACAATTTTAATAGAGCTTTGAGTGGTGGCAACTTTTTTCCTCGTCTATTCACAACATTGTGTGGCCATCTTCACCAATGCATCCAGAACATTTTCGTTTTATCTCCTTGCTTCTACTAGCACTCAATCCTGCTTCTTCTGCCCTCTAGCCTTATCTTTGTGCATTCACCTGTCATGGGTCTTCATACATGATCTTTTATGTGACGCTTCTGTTGATTAGCATGTTTTCCAGGTTCATTGACACTATACCAGGTTCTTTCACACTATACTTCATTTTTTCTGATGACTGGATAATACCTTAAATTCCATTATGTGGATATTAATTACTTCTTGCTTATTGGTGTGTGTACATGCAAAATTAGTTTGTCTGTATGTGTATGCCAGTGCATGTGCGTGTGTGTATGTGTGTGTTTGTGTAGACTAGAGATAAATGTTGTTGTCTTTCATAATTGCTCCTCACCTTAATTTTTGAGACAGGGTCCCATACTAAATATGGGGCCCACTGATTTGGCTGGACTGTCTGGCTGACAGCCTCAGAGATCTTTTGGTCTCCACCTGCCCAGCACTGGGGGTTACAGATGTTTGCTGCTGTGCCTGGATTTTTTAACATGGGTTCTGGGGTTGCAAAATCAACCCCAGAACTTATGCTTGTGCAGCAAAAACTTCGCTGGCTGGGTATCTCCCAAGCCCTTCAATTTTCTCTATATTTTGCATGCAAATATATGTGTATCTTTTAAGCTTTGAAGATTTAACTTAGGACATTGTGTATGCTAAGCAAGTGTTATTATCAGCTAGCCACACCTCCATCCGTGCTTTTGTTTATTTGAGAAGGGGCTTTTAACCTTCTTAGAAACAAGTCAGGGTAAGAAGTGGAGAACAGATATGGTGCTCAGAAGAGAAGGGGGGTCTCCGAGGCCCTCGGAATCAGCTTTATCTTTGATGTGTTTTTACGCTTCTGCTCTGGGATGACATGGAACTGGGTCCTTCAGGGCTCCTGCTATAACCACACCTTTCTCTAATGAACGTTGAGTTTTCTTGAGGGTTCTGAGTATGATCAAAGAGTTGAGAAGTGGAGCGCTAGGGAATGAGAGTGTGCCAAATGAGGCTTACTGCACACAAAACACATGCATATGCAAAACTGTGCAACACGTGTGTGCACAGAGCTCGTGAGTGTACTCAGAGATGGAGGAGAGGGAGAGGGAAAGGGGGAGGAGAGAGGGGGAGAGGGAAGGAGAAATGGAGGAAGGGAAGGAGGGGGGTACTCATGCACTGCCTGCCTGGCATCTTCTTGGACCTATTCCAGTTAAAGACAGTAGATGGTCCTGAGGGTACCTGTTCTGAATTGTAATTCTCATGTGAATAGACTTTTGTCCAGTCTCTAGCTGAATTTATCTCATCCCACCAGCCTTGTGTGTGTGTGTGTGTGTGTGTGTGTGTGAGAGAGAGAGAGAGAGAGAGAGAGAGAGAGAGAGAGAGAGAGAACTATCCCTGGCTTTCTGCTGCAGACAAAGCAGAGAGAAGCCGAGGAGAAGCTGCTAGTTGAGTTAGCGGCTACTTTCCCTTCAGGGCTAAGTGATGATCTTGATGAGAACAAGGAGAATGGGAAGTGGGGAGGCCAGAGGCTGGGCAAGCTGGTGCTGACAAGTGGAACTCTTTCCGAATCAGGGAAGGCAGGAAGGATGTGACTTATTTCAGAAAGAGGGAATTCTCTGTCATCTCGGGTGATGAAGAACAAGTTAAAGAGGAGCAGCTTGCCTCTCAAGAGCGCACGCTCACTCTCAAGGAGCAGGGGAGTGAATCATGGGGAACAGATTACGCTGGAACAATGGAGAGATGCAAAACTCCAGGGACAAATTTCCCCCTTAGTTCTGGTGTCTGATGAACTGGCTTTTTGGTCACAGTTCAGAAAAGCCTTGTGGATCTACCATCCCGGAGACCCAGACGAAAGGGGCCTAACTTGGACCTCCTGGGGCTTTCCTTTGTCAGATCAGCTCTGAGGGAAGAGCTCCAAACTACTTTTTTACCGCTGTCATTTTTCAGCAAGAATCACTGCATCCAATTTTCCTTGATAGATGAGATTATGAATGCTAGGTCACCTTGGCTGGGGGATGTGCCCTGCTTTCTGTGAGCCCCCACACAGAATGACAGCTATTCCTCCTGGGGCAGGAAAAGGGACCCATGACTCCTTGGGATGCTGGGAAGGTTTAAGCACTGTTAAAGTAGATTTAAATCGCTGCTATTTAGTGATAGGTTCTTATGGTAAGCGTCCCTTCTGGTATTTTCTCGTGACTAAGATGTTGGGGCACAGGCTAATTTGATTCCCTAATTGGCAGTTGTTGGGTTCTTCCCTCATTGCTGTCCTCACTCTTTTGGAAAAAAGCTCTGTCTGCCCATCAGCCAGCTGGGCTGCCCTTACGATGTTGGCATCAGCCATCTTGAACCCTCCGTAAATGCCTTGAAAAGGCTCCTTGATGGTCACAGCTAATTGCTCTGGCTTCTGCAGGCTTGGCCTCAGCCAAGGTTGTTGGAAACAGCTTGTAGCAGACTTTGTACTACCCCAGGCCTTGGAGGACTCTGACTCTGCAATGTCTTCCACCTTCCCTGGTGGCCTTGCTGAGCAACGGCTGTGACCGGGCTAAAGAGGCAAGACTGCGGTTGGTCCTGGCACTCCTTTCTCTGGCTCTCAAAGTGGGCTACTCAGATAGCTGACATTGAAGAAAGATAAAAGGCTGGACAGAGTCACAGATGAGAAACTGCCACCCTGGTCACCAGCTTTCCAGGGAGCTGTCAAGTATTTAGAGCCAAGAATCTCAGACTCTTGGGCTAAGGGCTCGAACAGTGTTCAGTGGTAAGGGCTAAGGGATCTGGACATCTAACCTACAGAAGAGCTCTGACACCTGTTGGCTAAAGGTTCCCATTTCTGAGACGGGCATAGGGTCAGTGACGTCAGAGGGCACCACCTACTGCTACTCCCGCCTGCTCATTGCTGCCACTTGCTATAGCCAAACACTAAGGGAAATAAAAGTGCTGGAGAACAGCATTTGAAGAGCTTTTCTCCTTTGCTCTTTGGTCTCTCCTTAGTAAAGCTAAAGGACTCAGCTAGCCAATGACTAATACTCTCAGGCCGGGAGAGGAACCAGAACTTTTCCCCTGAGACTTTAGAAGAGCTCCTGGAAGAACAAGACAGGGTCTTGCCTAGGAAGAGGGGGCTGCGGTGACTGGGCAGAGAAAGGTGGAGGATCCCACATCACTGTGTCATCCCAACGGGCTGATGAGGGCTCATTTACTCGAGACAGTGTATCCCTTCTCTGGTTAGGAGCCTGGCAAAGGCAAGTTGGCACAGAAAGTGCTGTGACTATCCAAACATCCAAACTGGCAGCCTTGTATAAACTACATAGGCATAGGTGGTCTAGCCAATGGTCACTGGGACATGTGATAAACCAGTAGCCCTTCCAGGTCTTCTGTACGATCTTCAGGGCTGTGATGCTAAGGTTCGGGGAGGAAAGCCTTTAAGTGGGACTGAGATAGAATCTCTCTTCTTCCTGTTCGGAGGGTACAGGCCAGGTGCAATGGCCAAAAACTGGAACATAGTGTGAGGAGCAGGCCACTGGGCAGGGGCATCACACTGCAATGTAGGGGAGCTACTGTTGCCCCTACTTCTCTTACCCCACATTTTCTTGCCACTTAGCAGTCTCTGCTTTCTTCATGAACAGCTGTTTGGATAAAGGTATGTTCTTTCTTAGAGTTGAGGTCTCAGACTTGGAGATGACATGTCACCTTCTGTTGAGAGTGGTTTTCTATGTGCTTTCGGGGTTGACCAGTTCAAGTAGAGTAGCCCCCTCTCATCAATGAGGTGTATGCTCCAAGAACCTTGGTGTGACCTCGGGTAGAATTGAACCCTATATATTCTGTGGAACTAACATGGCTACCGAGTGACGGATGGCTGGGTGATGCATAGGTAATGTATAGGGTAGATAGGCTGGACAAAGAAATGGCTAACATCCTGGGCAGTGTGGAGCAGGCAAGGGAGACTGTGTCATGCTGCTCATGGGGTGCAGTTTAAAACTTGGGGGTTGGTTTCTGGGATCTCCCATTCACTATTTTTGCTCTGCAGTTGACCGTGGGAAACTGTGGGACCTAGTGAGACCTTGGCTAACGGAGGACGACCGCAGTTCAAATACTGGAAGTATGGCCTTTGACTCCACAGGGTTCCATAGATTATATCCCAGGAGTTAAGTCTCGCTGGGCAGAAGCCACACAAGTCACCAGTACTGGGTTACTAACTTTACTGAGTCCACTGAGTTTGTCGTATTTCATTTGCATCATGATTTTCTAAAAAGGAAGTTGGGTCATGTTAAAGTGAGAGGCTACATGTAAAAACACATGCATTCTCAGGAACCCTAACAAAAACAAACAACAGAAAGGCAGGTACCATGAAACCTCATCCTTTCTTGGGCCAGGCTGGCTGGAGCTGAGCATGGATGCCTCTCTAGGCCTAGATAAACTGCTTGGCTGAGCTCCATGGTTATCCGTTCTTAGGACACTCCATCTTACCCTCTTTCTGCTGCTTCCCCAGCCTTGTAGTAGAGAGGATGGGACCCTGCCTTAATTTCTCACATGATCTAAGGCCTTTCCGCTTCCTTCTCCTGACTCTCTTTACTCAGCCTTCACCAATTACTCATTGCCAATGTCAGTTCATTCTCGATCTGCTTACTGGAACCTTCCTGGGGTTGGTTCTATCATCTAGTCAGTGTGAAACCAGAAAGTCATGCCTTGCATGAACAGCCCCAGTGAAACCCCTCCCACCCAGGAGTACCTTGACATGCCGGCCGTCCAGGCCCTTTGTGTGTTCGTCAAACTCCACCCCGACGGTAAAGTCCAAGTCATAGTTTCTGAACGTGCTGTTGGTTTTTGTCTTGAAGTTATCACCGTCTTGAGTGATGATCTTCGTCTGATTCAGACGTACTGCGATCTTGCGGGTGGCAAAATCAATATCTGTTGGCAGAGGGAGTAGTGGAGGTTATGATGTGTGCAGCCAGGCTCATTCATTTCTTTAACAAGGCAAAGTGCTCAGGCCCAGAAACTCAGGCTGGGGACACGCCACATTTCTTTAAGTGAGAAGCAAGAGTTGTCTTACACACGACTTGATCATGGGTTTGCTGACTCTGTCCTCCCCTGTATCCCTTACCAGAACCAGCCCTAGGGTGATGCTCACAGTAGATGCTCAGATAATAAGGACTTGTTAATGGAGGAGCGTGGTCCAGGGCAGTGATATTAAAGCCAGGACCCTGGACCACCATTAGCAGCAGCAGCAGAACCTGGAAACCCATGGAAATCTGTTTCTACTCATTTTGTGCACACCACAGTTTAAAACCACAAGCACCCAAGAGTGAGGGCAAGGGGCAGGTGGGTCCCGATTTCCCAGCTATGTGACCTTACAGAAGCCACTCTCTCTTCCAGAGCTTCAGTTTATCCTGGCAAATGAGGAAAGAATGCTCATTTCCTTTGGTTGTGGTGGTGAGGATTTAGTCAGCTCTATGGAGAAAGTCTGTACATGGCTCCCAAGAGCTGCGTGTATTCATTCACTACACACAGGCTTCCATTATGGTCCTTGTCTGTTTGGGTCACATGGGGACCAGATCACTTTAGCCCAGAGCAAAAGTTCCAGATCACATTTGTGTATCCCTATAGCTACTGGATACACACCTCACTACAGAGCAATATAACTGTAGCTATCATGGTGCCCTTTGTCCAGCCTAGCGGGATACCTCTCAGGCTGGACCAGCTTCTTCCCTCTGCTTTGCTCGATCAGTGGCTTTTACTCAAATCCTGCATGTTGAAGTTGTGCTAACCAGAGCTCCTGCAGCCATCACTAGGGGTAGGAAGAAGATGCTGCTAACCAAAGGGGAACACTCCAGGTAAACGACTATGGAAGGATGGGAAATTGTGGGGAAATTTAGGACAGATTGTTCTTTAGCTAGCAAATCCATATCCGTTCTGTGGAAGTGGACATCGTGGCCCAGAGAATTGAAGCGGTGGGCTCAGCACCATCCCACTTCACAGTGTCCCTACAAATGCAGCCCGCTTGTCATTTATAGCTAAGGCTTTCTAACAAAAATTATGACTTGTCCTGGGCTGCCTAGAATAGCGAATCACAGTGAAATGTCTGGTTGTTGTTGAGAGAACCAGTGTGTCCTGGAAATAGCATCCTTGTCAATCTTCCTGACTAGGGCCAGGAGAATGTTATTAGGGGTTCTATGCAAATGGAAGCAAACACTGCTTCGCTTCCAGATTGAAAAATGGCTTGGCCTCTTGGCCACCCTTTAGCGTTCACACAAGCCAGTTAATCATGTCACCTCTGCTCCACCTGGGGAAGGGAGCCAAAAACTCTGCTGGTGGATTTCTTGTTAGATATTTCTAATCAAAGGGTTTAACTGATGCTATAGAATACACATTTGTGTGCACACGCTAATACACACACACACACACACAGTACACAAACACTTCCTCTTTGAACTTTGCAGAGGAAACTACTTTCCTGATATGATATTTTAACACTAGGGTTATCAAGTTTGTTTTATCTGCTTTTCGGTCTTACAGGTACCTCCGAGCCTGATTTACAGCCAGGTAAAGTGACATTCTATCTCAGAAGGAAAGGTCCAAAGACAAGCTATTTCTGAATAATATACATGGTTCGTGGCTGCCGCTGCGGAAAAACAAATCAACAACAGCCAAAGTGACTTTATTAAGCATACTTTTCATAACTGCATCTTGAACAATGCAAGCCATAAAGCTGAAATACGAGCGTGCTTCTCAACGTTAAAATGCTCTGTAATATGCTTGCAAAGAAAGCTAAAGTTGCAAGCGAAAAGGGCAGGTGCTCTTTGTAAATTAAAGAGCAGAGATGCGCAGGAATCCATCACGGGAAATCTGAGAACAGTTCAAAGTGCGGCCTCAATGGGCTTTGAACCTGGACTCCTTAACTCTCAAATCATCGACTCTTCCAGGCAATAGGGAGAAGCCGAGTGGAAGAACAATTTTCTCTTTCTTTCCATACCATTTCCTCCTCCAGAGGACACATTTAGAAGGGAATTAGACTGGTCCCCGCCTCTCTTCCTTCGCTCCCTCCTGGCTATTGCAGGCAGGCTGGTGACCCTGGGCTACTGGCTCGTACTCAGTACTCTGCACCCTTACTCTAGTGATCTCCACTGGGGTGGGTTCATGGGAGAAGTGTTACCAGCACGTGAAAGTGGGACCGGAGAAGGGGGAAGCAGTTATTGTTGTCTCTTGGATTTTTCTGTCCCTTGGTACTTTTTCCTTCCAAAGTCCAACTAGGTACCATGTGGCACAATTAAGACTCTGATGAACTGAATAACTTGGTTGGCTTGTCAATGCCAGCAGAAATCCAGAGTTTTGTACAATAACTGCATTCTCAGACCATCAGCTGCTGGTTGGTTTTCAGTTAGGGACCCTGAGTAACCTTCTTAGTGTTTTTTGAAGGCGCTATCTCTCTGCTTTGGATGTCTCCACCATTTAGCAATGTTCAGAGTGAAGTCCTTACCACTACCTTGGCACCCTCCTGTCCAGAGCTGCCCGGTGGGAAGGGTTAGCAAGTTGTTAGAAGAGATAGATCAGGTTCCTGTCTGGGTCCTGCTATTTCCTAGTCACCTGTATCCCTAGGCATTTCTCCTTCTTCTCTGGGCTTCAGGTTCTTCATCTCATCAAATGAAAAATATCCCTTCTGTCCTCAGACCTGACTATACTCCAAGCTCTAGGCCTCATCTCAACATGTCCATATCCATGCTGTCCATGTCTTGGCTGTGTAGGGGGCGTATGAGGTCAAACCAGGAGAAACAGAATTCTTGGTCTAACCTCTGGCAGTCTTTCCACCCTCAGCCTCCTCTCCTATCTTCCGTTTGTCTGTATCTTCCATCTGTCTGTACACTCCCACACCCCAGCCTCCTGCGGTGTACCTTCCTGGACACACAAAAATCTTTTGCACTTACTGTCCCTTGCTTTGGGAACATAGTTTAGCTTCAGCTTCTGGCTTTAAGAATTGTCAACTCTTTGGCTTGTCTTCCTTGACCTGGTGACCTTTTGTAACTCTTCAGACATTGTTCTCCTTCTTTGTCTATTTTTTTTCCCTCTGATGTTTGTTGAGACAGGGTTTCTCTGTGTAGCCCTAGCTGTCCTGGAACTAGCTCTGTAGACCAGACTGGCCTCAAACTCACAGAGATCTGCTTGCCTCTGCCTCCCAGAGTGCTGGGATTAAAAGCATGCACCACCATTGCCCGGCTTCTTTTTTTGTCTTTAAAATGCTTTCATTACCTAGAATCACCTAGCACAGCGTTCTGGTGTTCTCTCTCGGCACCCTTCCGCTCCTCCCACCAGGGAGGAGATCAACTCTGCGTGGGTGGGGGACAGTCTTCTCATTTACTATTCCATGACCAGTGACCACAATAGCTCCCTCCAGAGCAGAGCTGCTCGGATTCTGCGCAGATGACACAGCCCCTGCTTCCATAAGCAACCACTGATGCTCCATGTGGCACCTGGGTGAGTCTCCACCCTGGGCAGAGCTAATGGACTCTGCTCTCATCTCCTTCACGTGATCAGAAGCTTTTTTCTACAGCTTTGCCCGCCCCTCCTTTAGAAATGAAGACCTTTCCCCCACTCCTCTTTTTCTGGTCCAAAGGCGGATGGTAGACACGACAGAATTGATGGGTGATGGGGCTTTCAAGCTGCATTCTTCAGGGTCAGAAAGGGTCTAGGAAAGCCTTGCAGTGCCCAGGAGGCACCACTCAGTCATCCTGGACACTTGTGCTCTTAATGACTTTGATAATTTGAGGCAAACCCAAAGGTTGCCATGCCACATCATTGTGCTGAGGTCGGTACCTGAGTCATGTGTGGAGGCGAGGGTATCCAGTGAGCCACTGGGTATTGACAAAGCCAGAGTGCTGCTCCCTCCCTACCGCAGGGAGAACCAGGTCCCCCAGAGAAAGCCAGTTCCCTCACTGATGGACCAAGTTAAAGTCCAAGAAAGTGATGGCTCTTAGGCAAAGAACACTGTCATACCTGATGGCATTTACACACCTGGGGATTTGCAAAGATCTCTGCCATGCTCATCCCAAATTGCCAAGTGCACAAAAGGGCACAGAAGGCAAGCTTCATTGATTACCCAGCCTCGGGAAAACAACCGCACCTTTTCAGCAGGGTGAGGCAGACATCAAACTAATCTATGGAGCAACTTTTGACAAGGTAGAGTGACGGGGCAGCCACTCCTCATGTGCTTTCGGCTGATTCCCTTGGCATTAATCACTGCCAGTCCCGTCCTGCCCATGGGCAGGTGAAGGAAATCAGGTGTCTTGGCTCAGTGGTGTGAGCATAACTCTGGCTGAGGTTTTTTTGTTTGTTTGTTTGTTTTTTTTTTTTTTTGGACAGGGCATTGTGGTGTCGAGGTGGGGCCAGTCTGTAGGATCCTGAGACAGAATGCTATCAGCAGCTGGGCACCAGTACAAGGACACCCACGCTGTGTGTCTAGCTAGAGCGATCCCCTGCGGTAGTCATTTCAATCCCCAAAGTGCCAGCTGCCCTTCTACAGAGCGGGGACCAGCTCCAAAGAGTTGAATCAGTCTGCTCAGTCTAACATGATGTTAGAGTGTACATTTTTAATGAAGCCCAAATTGATGAGAAGTAACTGATGCTAAGGATTCAAAAAGTCAATCCTGAAGTATCTAAGCAGCACACTCAAACTGAAAGTCCCTCGTGCCCATTGTGGTGTAAGCTTGTATCAGAGTCCAAAGGAAGCCAGATGTAGATAGCAGATTCCTTTCAAAGAGCTAAGGGTATACCCCCAGCATCTATCTTGAGGAAAAAGGGAAGGGGGTGGTCATGTTTGCCTTCTACCTTCAAACTGAGGAGCTGGACTCCAGGAGTCTACCCATGGGACCATACACTGAACAGGTACTGGATTTTTATCACTAATATCATTATCATGTGTATGTGCATATGTAGTGTGTGCATGGTTGGGGGACATGCGTGTGCCACAGCTTGTATGCGGAGGGCAGAGGACAACTTTTGAGAGTTGTTTTTTTCCTTCTACTGTGGGCTCCGGGGATTAAACTCAGGTCTCAGGCTTGTGTACCAAGTGTTTGTACTCGTTGCACCATCTTGCTCTCCCTGGAATTCGTATAGTTTAAGCGAATGCGGCAAAATGCACACTGCTTTCTGATAATAATCTATGTGCCCAGCTTGTCTAGTATACTTATGAAACCAAGGTGCTTCCAAACAGCCCATGTGACAAGACTTTCAGTTGGCCAAAATCACAGCTGCACCTAGCAGCACCTAGAGAATCTACAATATGAGCGTTTTTATCTCTATTTGGCAGATGGGGAAACTGAGGTCACAAAAGGTCAAAAACCTGATTCCACATCACAGAGTAAGTCCTGGGGGGGGAGCTTAGGCTGCACGCACTCTGGGCTCGCCTACCCCTCTAATCAGTTACATATGTGGGCTCAGAACCCCATTTCTGTTGGCCACCTGTGTCACCAAGCAGAAGTGTGACAGGAATGTTTCCTTTCTTCCTGCACCATGCTCCACTCCGTTCCAAACGAGCTAGGTGTCCTCACCCTAGTGAGTGGAGCCCCAATAAGAGGAGATTTTTGCCTGTCTTTCTTTAAATGCTGAGGTAAACCCCACAACCCCCGATCTCACATACTTCTCACCACCATACCCAAATTTCTGGGCCTCCGAGGCCACGTACAACCATTTCTCTCTCATCCTTGTGTGGCTCCCTCATGTGCAGGCATGTGTGTGAGGAAATTCAGGGTGGAGAAGGTGAGCAGGGTGGGGAAGAAGTCAGCTGGGCAGCCGAGATCCTCGCCCGGTGCCTGGCTGCTGCCGCCCTTGTGAAGCCCCTGTGGTGACTCACCCCCATCTCCGTTCAAGTATAGCCCAGAGGTTTCCAGGACCACATGTTTCTGCCAACACTAGGAGAGACCTACAGACCTACCCTGTCACTAGCTTGGGACACAGACAGATGAGTAGCCCTTGGCCTGGAGCAGAACTCAGATAACAGTTAGTGGTTTGAGCCATATGATAGCAGCTCCCTTCAGCCTTCTGTGAGCCTGAATGCCTCAGGGTAGAGAAATTGGTTAGCTGCTTCTTCAATTTTTTTTTCTATGACAAGGCCGAGAAAAACTCCAACAGGAGTCATTGGTGATAATGGCTGATTCAAATGGTTATCTATGAGGTGGTGATGGTAAGGCCAGAGAGTGATCATGGTGTCCTTTAGGGCAGACAACACTGGTCGTGTGTGTGTGTGTGTGTGTGTGTGTGTGTGTGTGTGTGTGTGTGAACATGTGACGCGTGTCTGTATCCTCCATCCAGTGTGTGTTTTCTGCCAGCCAGGCACTGTGCTCAGAACATTCTAACCCCATCCTATTTATTATTTCCAGGTAGGGAAAGAACCTCATAGAGTTCATGTATCTCAGCTGACTTGGCACGGTTCTGACTGGGACAGAGGGGATTTGCCCAGAGCTCTGATGAGTCTCCCACTAGCACCTCCTAGAGGACCAGTCTATTATCCTCCAAATGTCCCCTTCCTCCCCATCCCCTTTACCTCTTACCTAGGGCCTTCATGTAGCCTTCAAAGTTCTCATTACTCTCCATTTCCCAGGTTCCATTCTGGTCCCTCGTCATGATGGTGGCCTCTGGTCTGGTGTAGGCGTCTGGTGACCGTGAAGGGACAGGCTGCAGGGAGACTGTGTTAAACCGAATTGCTTTTATAGCTTAGTCGGCTGGGTGTAAGAAGATAGTGGAGTCAAAGGTCACAAGGCTGACTCAAAGGAATCATCTTTGCCTCTGCAAAGTTCAGCAGGTCTGTGGGCAATCTGGGCAAAGTCCTGTTGTTGCCGGGTGTGCGTGTCCCAGTGACCTCCACGACACGCTGCCTTGGAGCAGCTTGTTTGTGACTGATGGCCTCCCACAGAGGCTCTGGCCTCCCGTGGAACATTCTATCCAGTTCCTAAGGGAAGCAAACACTGAGTATCTGCCCCACAGGCTCTGCAGCCCGGCAGCAGCCCAGCACTAGGCCTACCCACCACATCACCAGCGCTCTAACCAGGCTGGCGAAGCTGAGATGGTGGCTCTCACATCCATGGACGTGTACTCGGTGCCTCGTGGCACTTGAACTTCATTTTGTCTTAGTTTACAACAGATCTTGGGTTGTACTTAACAGCCTTCCTTCCACAGGTAAGCAAGGCTCCAGGAGGTTAAATGACAAGCCGTCTAATAGCAGGTGTCTTGTAAAAGACGGAGCCGAGAGAAGGACTGTGGCAACAGAATGAGACAGAAAAGGATGTTGGGATTCATCATTTGAGGCCCAGCCAGAAGCTTACAGAGCATGCGGTAGCGGTGGGGATTTGTGCCCACACTCAGATTTAAGCACACAATTCCTCCGACCTCCCAACCCCCAGGTCTTGCATCCAAGAAGGGAAGGAAGGCTGACCTAGTAGGGGGAGGGGATGGAGACAAGAAAGGATGTTAATTGTGATGAACTAGAAGTCTGGGTGTTGATGAGCAAAGCAAATGGAGGCGTTGGTGCTGATACAAGACCAATGAGGAAATCCATACGCCCACAGGAGATCCAAACTCTTGCGGGCTGTCGTTTCAGTGAAGGTGTACACTAGTCAAAACGCCAAGACAACAAGGGAGTCTGTGTCTTTAGCTTGGACTCTGCATAGGTTGAAAGGATCCGTTGAATGCGGCATGCCTGACTTTGACCTGGATTTAGACTTTGAATTTATACTCGGACTAACCGAAGGGATTCAGTAAGTGTGAAACTACATTGATACGTTTCAGTCCAGGCCAGAAAGAGTTCTCTGTGGTAAACACATGTAAAAAGAGGTTCGAAATCGGAAAACATTGTGAAGCTTATTACCAAGACCTAGTCCCAGAAGTAAATAGGTCTCCAAGAGTTTCAGATACCAACTAGAAAATAGATTTTAAATCAATATGGAAATTTATGGAGATGAAAATTTTCCATAATCAAATTTTGGAAAAATTATGGAAATCACACCAAAACTTAAAAAGGCATAAAATGATATTTTTTAAAAAAATTACTGCAGGTGTAGTGGCACATGTCTTTAGTCCCAGCACTCAGGAGACATAGGCAGGTGGATCTCTTGTGAGTTCCAAGCCAACCTGGTCTGTGTAGCAAATTCAGGATAGACAGAGCTACGCAGTGAGATTCTGTCTCAAAAATATTGTTAGTATTTTAGAAATTAAAAATAAAGTTGCTAGGGGCTACACATACATATACTCAGGCACTTACATATAAAATAAATAAAGAGATATTTAACATATATAGTTGCTAAAATTAAAAAGGCAATAGATGGTATGAAGAGTTTATTAAATATTGCTGAGGAGAGTATCTGTAAAATGGAAGACCCAAGAAGTTTACTCAGAGAGTAAATGTGCTCTTTAGTTTTTACCAATTTGACCCAGCTCTAGACATATTGAGATATTGCCTCTAGCAGACTATCCTGTGGGCAAATATTGGGGGCATTTTCCTGATAAATGACACCGGAGGATCTAGTCTGCAGTAGGTGATGCCACCCATGGCCAGGTGGTCCTGGGTTGTATAAGAAAGCTGGCTGAGGTTTCAATAAAGGCACCTTGTTCGTAGTATGTGGCTTGCCTTTATCTCCACTACATCAGAGGGGTAAGATCCTGTTGTCTTGCTCCAAACTCAGCTCTGTTTGTCTAACAACTGTCCAGAGTGCTACTTTTATAATTTTGGCAACTAAGATCCCATATGATACAGCACCATAACCCAACACCATTGACAAATGACTCACTTTTTATTAACGTCTATGTACGACTGATGGATGTCTAGGAGGGCACAAAAGGCTTGGTGTCTTTGTCTTCACATTGCAGCTCTCCCCTCTGCAAGCTCAGCCTTGGACTCAGAGCTTCGCCAGCTGTTCCCCTTGGAACAGGTATGTGAGAAACGGGCTGAGTAGTATGTAGTGACTGTAGCTAGGAGGTTGCAATGGGTGGGCTAGATGCTTACGCATTGCCTTGAAAATTGACAAAGCTGCTCCTGAGCCATGGATCCTGAGCTATGGCCAGGATCTATGTCCTCTGGAGAGCACATGAGGTGGGCAGGGTGAGACCCAAGAATGGGCATTTCTACAAAGCCTCCAGGAGCCAATGCCCCTGCCCCAGGACCACAGTGAAATTGTTGTCTAACAGAATGGAAGAAAGCGTCACTTCCTGGCCTTCACTGCTGGGCACTTACCTACCTTGAGTTTCATATTTATTCTCTAGTCATCGTAAGAGAGACAGAGACAGAGCGGAGGACAGAGAGAGAGAGAGACGGAGAGGGCGCACTTGGTCATGAGTGTTTGCCTGTGAGGGCCAACAAGTGTGTGGAGACCAGAAGACGATCCTGGCAGCATGCCTCCTCTGGTATCACTCTTCTTACTTTTATTTTTTTTTATTAGAATTTAATTTTATGTGTGTATTTTGTCTGAATGTATGTGTGTGCATCGCTTGCATGCCTGGTGCCAGTAGAGGCCAGAAAGGGTGTCAGACCCTCTAGAACTGGAGTTACAGATGGTCGCTAGCCACCTAATAGATGCTAGGAATTCGAGTTGGGTCCTCTGCAAGAGCAGCCAGTGCTCTTCACTGCTGCGAAGCCATCTTTCCAGCCACACCCATCTTGATTTTTGAGACAGGGTCTCTCATTGGCCTAGGGCTTGCTGATTAGGGTCAGGTGACCCCCAGGGTCTGTGCCAGTTATAAATGGTTAGAATGCCTGGTTTGTAAATGTGGGTTCTGGGGTTCCAACTCAGGTCCTCAAGCTTGTGCAGCCGACAGTTTATCTTCTGGGCCATCTCCCCAGGCCTGTCATTTTAAACATTTAAATAGAGAAAAAGACGGATAGGTTCTTAGAAGGGTTCCTGGCATCTACTAATGGTCTGTTCAGGATGGCGGCGGTGCTGTGGGGCTGCCGACCAAGCTGCCCTCCAAAAACCAGAGCTTTCTTATCCCATGGTTTCAGATCTGTGTACAGAGGTCAGAGGCGAACTAGGAGGAAACGGGGCCATGAGAAAAGCAGTGGCCACTTAAGCACTCAGCCATACAAGTCCACGAAAGATCACGTTCCTCACACGTGGTCACAGAGGCCCAGCAGCCCGCCCTCCCTCCAACTCTGACCATACCTGAGTGCATCCCATTTTGTATCTGCTTACCCTTGGGGCATCCCTGAGGTGACTTAAGCATGGAAAAAAATTACCATCTGTAACTAACCTGCAAGGAATATTCTGGAGATCAGAGGAAGAAAGGCAGGCCAATCGCTGGGAATGAGCTTAAGGAAGGGCCCAGGCCAGTGTGAAGTCTTCAGCTGTGCCTGCCAGCTGGCCTAGGGAGGCTTCCTCTACCAGGAAAACCTCACCCAGTCCTGCCCAGGTCCTCCCAAGTTCCCCTTGCTTGCTTTCTTCCTCCCTCCTCACTGTTTTTTGTTGTTCTCCTGTACTGAGGCTCAAACCCAGGGACTCCTGCATCCTGGCAAGTGCTCCACCTCTGAACTCTTTCCAGGCCCCTCCTTCCCTCACAATGAAGATGGCTCTGTACTGGATGCTGCTCAGTGCCTCAGGGAAGATGCCATCCCTGCCTGCCGCTCCTCTGGGGTGATGCCCCTGTGATTCCAGCCCAGTTGCATGTGCTCTCTGTGGAGATCAGAAAGTCCATGCCTTTGTCTGCAGGCAGCAGGAGGAAGGCCACCTGGGATTTCTTTGAGCCAGAGGCCAGGCTGGGCCTTGTCTCAGTCTTTTACATACCTGGTGCTTAAAACATTTGCATTCCAGAAGGGAGAGCAAAAGAGCAAGGAGGTCATATTTCCGCCACCCCTCCCTCACCCACGACCCAGGGATCACATTGCCCTGGCTCAGGAAGAGTTTTAGTGGTTTCTTCCCTTCCCTTATCCTGTAGTCAGAGAAGGCAGGAGCTGAAGGGTTCAGTCCTAACCATCCTTTTCCCTAGGGGTGCTCCTTACCTCTCCAGGGGTACTTGAAGGATCTACCCCACAGAAACTTCTATTCCCTGCACCGCAACCCGTTTCACCAGACCCAAGGGATATCTGGCCAGGTAGAGTTGGGTTATGGGTCTCTGAGGGCGTAGGCACCACTTCACTTTCCTCCCGTGCTTAGTGCCTGCAGTGTGGTGGCCAAGGAATATGCCAATGCAGGTCGAATGAGCACAGCTTGTTAGGGGTATGACCAGGGTGGGACTTTCTGGGACATTAAGCCCTAGCTCGAGGCATCTCCTGGAGCTGGAAGGACAGAAGAACTTTGATTACAAGTGGTTCTGTGAACTATTAGCAATTCTTCTTTTCAAGACTTCAAACTAAATAAAAGCATCGGTGAGCTGATCAATAAGATATTGGTCCGTGTACTCTCCCCACATTTATCAAAGGTATTTGATGTCCTAAAATCAATGAAGATGCACCATTCAAAAACTTCTATATACGGTGTTATGTTCCAGCAAGTGGTTTGACCCATGATCAGAATGACAATGGTGACCTTATGTGTCCTGAGTACGTGGTCTGTCTTAGGTCAATAAAGTGGGGGTGTCATTGAATTTTCACTTCCAGGATGATGAGTACTAGGTTCAGAAAGCTTAGATGATTTTGCAAAGGCCACATAGGTAGTAAGAAGATCATGGATTT